CGCTGCCGCGCTGCCCCGACGGAGCCCCGGGCGAGGACGACCGCAGCCAACCCTCTCTGACCGCCCCTCAGGACAGCCCTGCTAAGCACTTGATTAAGCGGTCACGAGGCCGAATCCTGGCGTCTGGGTAAAATCTTTGCGCGGGCAAACTCGCTCTCTCTCTCTCGCACACACATTTCACCATCATCATCAATCAGTGAGCGACAGAGACGGAGGCATACGGAGGAGGTGCGAGGGTCCGGAGAGGTCCGCCTGTTCCGACCCGACCCACCCTCCTAGCGCCCCTCCCTCACGGCTGCCTGCCCACCCCTGGTCCCTGGTCCCCGGTCCACTCGACAAGAGGTCTTGAATACGACAACTATTGCAAAATGAGCCGTACAGAGCCCAGCTCGCTCGGCAAGGATCCGAGTAGTGTTTCCGAGTGTACCTCCAGCTTCCTCGGGGCGACTGCCCCAGAACTGTCGCCCGTCCGGCTGTCCCTCTCGCGCTCATACGCGACGTTCCATGAGTGCGAGAGAGAAACCCTCAGGCCGCTGGCTTATTTATGACGTGGTAAAAAGCATCCTCGGGAGGCAAATTCGGGGGAAGCGAGTACCGAGAGGAGAAAACAAACAGTGATTACCGTAATGAGGACGTGATGAAATATCTCGGGGCCATGTAAGGTGATGGCTGATGCCCTCTGCGTGTTGATACAAATTCCCCGCTCGGAGCAATTTGTCCTGCAGTGGTGTGAAAGCGGGCACGGGCCCTGGAACGATTTACGGAACGTGCTAGTTAGGAAGTGGTTGGCGCCTACCCTCCAGGGCTCACCCACTGCATGATCCTTGAAGCCCCGCTGGCAGTGTGTGAGTCTGTGGTGGTGTGACACATTTTCTCATGCTTCTCTCACAGCCTTCAACAGCACCCGAAATCACCGCTCCGAAACAGATAGCTTCTGACACTTTTACGATGAGTACTCGTGACACGAAAATCGTTGCCCTATGGGCATGATGGTATTGGTCCAAGAAACAGAGATTGAATTTTTAAAATGAAAACTAAAGCATTAAATGAATTTTCTATCTTTTATCAGAAATGAAGCCTGCCATGTAACTTTGATGAAACGTCGTGCGAAATATTGATGACAACTGCACTCAAGAAATATCTTGAGACTTGACATGTTGTCCCACCCTCCCTCTCTCTCTCTCTCTCTCTCTCTCTCTCTCTCTCTCTCTCTCTCTCTCTCTCTCTCTCTCTCTCTCTCTCTCTCTCTCCCTCCCTCCAGGAGAGCTGAGTCACCTGCCCAGGGCTCCAGCTGATTGCTCTCCGAGTTAATCCGACGCCGCAGGTGAGAAGTCCGGACCATTACAGCCCCAACTATTTGAACACGACGCTGATCACAGGTTGGGAATCCCTCGCGGGCGCGTCGCGGAGTCACGCATCCAAGTGGTAGCGCACTGCCTGCATTTTTTTTTTCATTTTCCTCCTCGGTAGCGCAGTCTACCCAGTTAGGTTAGGCCACTTTTTACAACGCGGCACGCCGAACTTCAAAACCGCGCCGTTGGGTCGAGAACACAAAGAAAGGGGTGGACTTACGCCCCGACGCTCTGTCTCTTGCGCTCTCACGGGACGTCCCGTAGGGCCGTAGGGGTGCGAGCGAGACTCTCGGCTCGGCAGGTGAGATAATGTAAACAATCACGCCTTTCTCGGTGGACGGGGGCGTGGCAGAGCGCCTACGGCCTTCGGGGACGCGTCCAGCACGCGTCCGACACCTTACACTGTTTACCCAACGAGGCACTCGAGAAAATTCGGAGGAAATGATTATCCAGCTGGGAAAGCCGTCTGCTGGCCCGAGCTGACCTCTCGGACAACCCTTCCTCGAGGGGAGGGTCGCGCCACTGTATCATCAGGGCCAATCTGCTCTGGAAGCGGGCGCTGCAATATTGAGGACTCCCTGGAAGCATCCCGCGCCCTGCAACTTTGATGGGGCGTTCAGACCACGGGCATGATCGGCTGGGGAGGTCGTTTGCTTTTTCGAAAACTAGTGCGGCCCGCATCTCGCCTTACAGCGTGCTGGAGAGCGTGCTCTACAGCGTGCCGGACAGCCGTCCGTGTGAGTCCGTCATGTGTGTGGGCGTGACCGGGGCGGCCTAACAAGGCCCGTGCTCGATGCGCGCTCATCAGCGATACCAGCCATTTAGTCCTTTTACATCTGCATTAGTCATAATTACCTATCTGAATCGAGCCTGCCGGCCAAGGGTTGACAACGACGGCTGGAGTCCGCGCCACCTGCTGTCGTGCCTCGTCGGACCGCCGTTTCTTTCGACCACGCAACGAGCAAAGTTCAAATGGAAAGGGGCTCGGAAGAAGTGGCCACTTTTTCACATACTCGCGTGCGCGCTAGCTAGCCGTGAGTAGACAGGCAGCCTCGTTGCAGGTCCCTGGGGCCCGCCACGCCTCACCACGCCCCGCCCCGCCCCGCCACGCCCCGCCACGCCCCGCCACGCCCCACCACGCCCCGCCCCGCCCCGCCACGCCCCGCCACGCCCAGCCCATGCGGGTCATCGCTTGCCATGCAGTTAACCGAGTACAGCGCAGTGCATGCGAGTGCATGCGAGTGCATGCATGTCCCTCCGCGGGGCCCAGCGCGGCTCAGCTCGCACCTCTGAGAAAGCGTCAGCTGCACCGGGGATGCGTATGCACAAGCGCATCGCATGCGGTCGGACTCATTGCATAATTTATGAGCCACTTGAGCTTTTTCGTGACCCCCTCGTCGTACGATACCGTGTCGTGCCTAATGATCTCTCTATCTGCTGCCCTGGCTGTCCACACAGTGGACACGACCGCACGTGCAACAACACTGGACAGCCCGATGCCATTTTGCGAAGTGGTCCCAATGGTCAAGTTGACAACTCTGGCGCTCTGTTACGAACATGCGTGTTGTTCATTCCCAGTCCAAACGTAAAACGCTTCTGAAAATGTTTCAGTGGACAGTCCGCGGTGATGAGCGAGTGGTGAGCCCCGGACAGGTGTGCGAGCGTCCAGCATTTAGCGTTATCCGCTTCGTATTACAAGCTCGTTAAAATTGGAGAGGCGCCTTATCAAGATGGGTGCTTCCAGTGCAGCACGGTCACGTCGCGATGCCCGGCCGATAAAAGGCCGGGGTGCTGCCGGTCCTCCAAATGGTTTTATGACGTGTCGTCCACATTCACGGTCACAAATGTTCCCCGGCGCTTCGGCTGGCGCCATCGTCCGGCCGCTGATTTTCAGCTTCGGACTCCAGACAGTGTCTCTCTCGCACTCAGGGGCGGACCGGCCCCCTGTCTTTGAGACGCACCAGGGCGCTCTGTTTTGCCAAGCGCTGCTGCACCGATGCTAATGACACACTCCATGTCATCTGCCGCAGTTGTTTGCTTTTCACAGCTTTGCACTCGGGTTGTCCCGGTTGTCCCGGCCAGGCACGGCATAGGTGGAGCCGAGGGGAGGCGGCGGGGTGCCTGCCATGGCCGCCATGGGCGCCATGGGTTGACAAACCCGCGTCTGGGATTACCGCGCACCACTTGAGTCAGCTACTGTTGTGACAAGTGTTTAATGATCAAACCCTCTGGGTGTGACCTCTCGGGCGCCACGAAAAAACACTCCTTGTTTGGCATGAATATTCAAAGGAGAGCGAGAGAGAGGGAGTAAGGTGGCCTGTCCAGTGCAGGCAGCGGCAAACACGGCGACACTGATACACTTGGAGAAACAAAAGGCCGTATAAATTAGTGCAATCAGCTGCCGATGACAGCCACACAAACACCGTGCTCCCTTCGCCGCGGGGCTCATCAGCAGGAAGCCGTGAAACGCGGCATCTGTGCCTCTCGCTCAGTGAAGAACCCAGTTCATTAAAAACAAAAATTGGAAATTCTTGTCTTTAAAACCCACAGGCCGCATAAAGCATCCGTTGGTGGGGTCACACGTTCGGTTCGAGGCCTGTTTAGCGACTCTGGAGCTCAAAACGCGTCTAGAGTTTTGCCCGCCTCCACCGGTCTCCCGGTCCACTGTGCGGCCCGATTAATTTGGGACTCTAATATCCGCGCGCACCTTTTTTCCGTCACCCATAGGGACCTGAATGCAGGAGCGCGATGGGTTTCACTCGCCTCGCGCCTCTCGCAGGGAGCAGGGACTCGGCGGGGATCGCCAAAACACTTTCACTGCTGCAGCACGCTGGAGGGGGACAAGTAGGCCAAGGGGACCGCGGAGAGGGGGCAGTGGGAGAGGGACGGGTACGGCGTCGCGGCGGCCGAGCGCGCCCGGGAGAGAGACGGAGAGAGAGGGGGAGAGAATTTCGCGGAGGCGTCGGGTGGGGGGGCGGGCCGCCGAGAGAAGTCAGTGGAGGCGTAACGCAAGCCACGGCGGGTCGGTTCAGCAAGCTCCTGTGCCCTTTGAGGAAACTCTAGTGAGAGTAAGTGAGTTTCGAACGTGTTCAAAGCGAGTTCGTGAGTTCCCCGCGTCGTCGGTGTGGCGTGAGTGACGTGGAGTGCGAGGCGCGGTGCGCTGGTCAGGTTAGGCGGCGGCCAGCTGGAGCCACCGAGTGCAGCCAGGACGGCGGCGAAGTCCGCTCCGCAGCGCCGTCTGCTGGCCGAGTGCTGCCGAAAGTGCCGCCAAAGTGTCGAACGCGTCAACCACGGTGTGCTTCTTCGTGCCCACGGTGTGCTCGCCGCCAGCGCGGCCAGCGCGGCGGCCTGCAGGGAGGCGGCCAGCGCGCTGTTGCTTCACGAGTTGCGTCACGCTGGCCGCACGGAGGCTGCCCGCCCGCCACTCGCCAGAACAAGTCCAGCAGCGCTGCATTTTCGATCGTTTTCCTCGAGTTTCATCGGGGCGCTGCAAGCGTGCTGCAAGCGGACCCAGTCGGCCATCCCGGACGCGGGCCAAACGGGCACAATTAGTGCCCACGGCTGTCTCGCTTGTTTTTGTGCGCTGACCACAAGGTTACCGCCGGGCGGCCGGCGGGGAGGGGGGCGGGGCGGAGCGGAGCGGCACGCCCAAGACAGAATCTGGAGGCCTTCTGTCATCTCAGTGCAGTGCGGTTCGGGCCAAGCTTGCAAGTGCCGGTGTCGTCGCGGCTGCTTCATTTTCACTGTGCGTGTGTGTGTGTCTGTTTGGGGAAGGCGCGGTCACGCGGTGAGTGCGTACGTGTGTTTGTGTGTGTGTGACCTTGGACGTGTCCAGGCTGCCAAGCCCCTGCCCGGAAGTGAAGCAGTATCCTCAACGCCTCCTGGAGGTCTCCGCGCGCGCTCGAGACGGCGCTGTGGCTCTGTGCGCCCGCGAGGTAGCTTTGAGCTTCAAACGTCTAAGAGCCACACAAACTCCTGTTCACAGGCGTTGGACGTGTGTGCTTACCGTGGAACTTCCCGTCGGCCTGCGCGGGAACGGGAGATTCCATTCCATATCGAACCGGCCGGTGCGGGACGCGTTTCCTACCGCCAAAGTCACTGTTGGGTGGGACGCGCGAAGAACCTCCTCCGCATACGTTTCGCGCCAGTTTGAATTAAGCTCGCCTAAACGCGCCACTGCTCACGGCAAAAACAGTTCCTGGTTTTCCCAGCTGGTTTATACAGTGTGTCCAGGGAGTTCCCGCGAAAACTAAGAGCCCGTTTTCTGCCTGCAGGCGTGAATGGGGGCGACGTCGGAGGGTCCCTAGGCGGCGGGAGGCGCTGAGGCAACAACATCCACTGCCATGGAGCGCGCGCTGCTCCGCGTCGCGCTGCTGGTCATGCTGTTCGTGCTGCTGTCCGCCGACTACTCCTCGCTGGTGTCCACCGTGTTCACGGCCCTGGGCGGCTCCGTGGTGTCGCCGACGCACGCCGCGCCGGACGGGCCCCACCTCGGCGGCCACCACCGCAAGGTGCCCACGGCACCGGGCGACCTCGGCTCGCTGCGCCGCTCCGACATGGTGACCCCGGCCCTGCACGACGGCCACGAGGACGACGAGGACGACGACGACGTGGAGGATGTCTTCGACTTCGGCGGCTCCACGGCCAAGCTGTTCAGTGAGTACCATCATCATCGTCATGATCATCATCAGCAGCAGCAGTGGCGCTGTCTAGACCCCAGTGGATGACCTTTCACGTTCCAGTAAGCAGCTAAGACAAACACACAGGACTCAGACTGCAAACCCCGCGCCGCGCGGGAAAACCGAAATCCACAAGTGTGTCTTTGTCCCGGTGATGCAATTTGGTTCGGAGTTTCGTGTTGCTGCCTTCTTTTTGCTCTTGCGCTCGCTAGTTTACACCTCCCGGTGTATGCAAAACGAGGCGCCGCCTGCTCGCCTGACTCACGGCCGATAAAATATTGAACAGTTTGTCGCGCGTTTTGCAAGTGAAATTCAATCAGCTAAAAAATACTCGAGCTGACGCACACAGAAAAATGGCTCATTTGGAGTGGCTTTCGCTCTCTGCGCCGAGAAGCAGAGCGGAGGCACCGAACCAGGAAGGACAGTCGCGGCCCAGAGAAAGGGAAAGTAAAGCGGCCAGTATCTCTGCGATTAACGGCAGCAACAAAGGGAACCCGTTGCAGTGTGCCTGCCTCTTCGAATCGGAGGCGGAGAGCAAAATCTCTATCTCTGCGTCTGACTGGCCTTGGCGGCGCGAAGCTGCAGGGATGACCTTCAGTCTTCACTGGCGCGGCGGCACAGTGGCGTAGCTGCAGTAATTGCATGGCTACGCCTATGGAGGGCCGCGATCACTCTCAATACCTCTCCGGGGCTCTGAAAAAAAAACGCACTGGTGTTTCAGCCGCCGCGGGCCGGTCCAAACTGCTGGCCACGATGAGGACATCCTGCCTACCCAAGCTCATCTGTGAGCTCCACGCCGCGCCGCACCGCCAGAACCTGGGGGAGTCGGAGCGGTCCCTGCTGGCGTTGATCAGGTACGTTTGGTGGACTCAGAGTTTCACTAAAACAAATTCCATACAAAGCATGCTTCAAATATTTTACAATGCTTTTGCTTTGTCCGTATTGAGAAGCGATGCTTCATAGACTTCTCTTTGCGTTTGCGAGTTAAAAAGTGGCTCTACTGAATGTTCCTTCGCAGAGAGACCAGCATCAGCACCACGGCCGAGGTGACCTCCAAGTACCACTTCGCGGCGCACATGGGCCAGCTCATCGCCGGCGTGGACGGCACGGGCTGCCACAACTTCTACCCGTCCTGCCCCTTCCCGGGCATGCAGGTCCTCTCCATGATGAAGAAGATTCGCATCCGATGAACAAGGCTGTGCCGCTCCCAACGAGATTTTCGATGACGAGGAGAGTTAGACTTGAGGGCGTGGACGCGTTTAGATTAAGTGAGTGAAGGCTAGTCCAGCAAGATAACACCGCAGACGGTGTGCCCCAGCCATGCCATTGGTTTCACCGAGACTTCGCCCAGCCCATTTACGTGGTTATCTAGTCCGACAGCGGATACACTGATAAGATAAATTTTGCACCAGGCATAAATCTGGTAAAAAATGTTGTTTCGTGGAAAAAGCACGCTCTTCCTTTGTCTGTCTTTCTGTTTTATTGTAACTGAGGGTGTATCAGCTGTCAATACGCAATAATTACTGTTGTAAGTAAACTAAGTGTTAAATTTAAGGACACCACTGGCCCGCCCAGAGTTACCACTACTGTGATGCTTCTCCAACATCTCGAACTGCGAGATTGGCGTTCACTTCTAGCTTTTAAAAACTCCTTGTGTAAGTGTACTTTGATGAAAGGTAGCCTAGTTCTTTCCTACAATTTGATACAAAAATAAAAGCAATTAAAAAAGCTGAACCTCCGGTTTTGTTTTCGCCCCGCACCGTGGGATAACCCGTTAACGCACTGTATAACCTCGAGAGGTGCGAGGTGGGTCCTCCAGAGAGATACTCTCAAACAGATGCCCCACTTTGTGGGGCGGGGCTGCGGGTTGACCATCACAAACAGATTAGGCTCTTCCCACGGGGGTCTTGACCCAAATATTCGGAATGACAAAACCAAGTAGCCGAAGGGGAGGAAACAATGACGAATGCGCGTGGGCGCGCATAGGCGCTCCCGATGCGCCCTTCCCCTTTCTATTTTTTACGACCGGTGCATTTCCAAAGTCGGCCCGGGGTGTGGCAGTGTGGCACCAACAGGGCCGCGGGCGCTGGAGGGTGGAACAAGAGGTAGTCCGTTAGGGAGCTTCATTGTACGTCGTGCTTTATCTGTGGGCTGGCTCCGACAGGTGCTCTCGCTCTGTCGCTCTGGCAGGGCGTCCCTTTGGGCCGCGAGAGAGACAGAGCACTGTTGGGACGCTGCCGCAGCGCTGCTCCTGGACCGATACGCTTAATGCCACTTCTGGCCCTCCTGCGCCGTAAACGGAATGACTGTGGGAACCTCCACCTTCACGGTGTCGCGGCCTGCCCCACTCGACAGGGCCCTCCGCCACCTGCGCGCCGAGCACAGACTGCCGAGTCCACGGGCACCGCGTCGTCGCGCGGTCCGACGCCATCCTGGGATCCCCCGATCCCCCCGCGCGCCGCGTGGGATCGCACTCGCGGTTTTAGTTGCCGGCGTCGCCGAGGGATGGCGCCAGCTGCCTTTCGGCGCGCAGCTGCAGGTGCGGTGTTGCGCGCCGCTGCCGGTAGAGCGCGCTAGCAGCGGTCTGCACGCCGACCCGCCGCCGCCGTTCCAACGGAGCGTCTGCAACATTTCGAACAGAAACCCGTCGAAACGAACGTGAGACAAGCACTTTTGGAAATCAGAAAAAATAAAATCGCAGAATCTTCGCCGTTAAGTTAGTACTTATCCCTTCAAAACGAAGCAGAATTTGAACCCCGTTAAAAACATCAGCAGAAAAAATTGGGCAGGATGGAGTATTGATCCGCATTGAGCCGTATTTCCCGGTATGTCGCAATCAATGGGGAACCACGCCCTGAAAAAATGACCCTGGGTTCATCGACCCGCTCCCAGTGGAGTGGGCATTTCCCAGTGGCGTCGTCACTGCGCTTGGCTGGGATTGGCGCGGCGGGCCTCCTTGGCCTACCTTGACCCAGCCGGCCGGTCGCACCGTTATCCGCGGTGCGCCGCGCGTGCGCGTCAAAACACCGTCACGTCTTGCACAACCCGCGGAAAGTGAACGGCCCGGTCCGTTCCGTGTTCCATCTCGCGGTGACGTGCCACTGCTTTCCCTGCCGTTCTAGACGCTTCAAGGTGCCACCGCCACTTCCGCTCCAAAAGTGTATTTCGCACGCGCTCAGCCACAGATCCGGGCTAATTTTGATCCGGTATGGATAGTGCTTTCAAAGTGCAAAAAATATTCGTCGAAAGCACAGTAGACCAGGACCAATAAGGGCATTCCAGCCGCGTCACGTTTTAATTTTTGAGACTCTGGTAGCATTTTTATTGTACTATTCACACTTTTCTGTCGCATTGAACCACTGTGTAAAGCATCTCCAAAGTATGAGTGACACAACTCTGTTTTCATTTTTCCGTCTCGACTCCACTTCTGCCCCAGATTGGGCGCAGCCCGTGTGACGTGATCCGAGCCGTCACCGCGTACGTGGCTGTGGTCACTCACCCACGAAAACGACAAGCCCGGCCCGCGGCCAGCCGCGCCGTGGCCTTGAGCCACCTTGGGCCGATGGCAGGGCTGCGACCCCAGCGCGCCCTGGTGGCCAAGCTGGCGGCCAACGGGCGGTGACTTGGCGCACGCCGCTCACGCGGGCTGGGCTTGGCGCAGATGCGCCGTTGTTGCTGGCGCGTCCAGTGGCGAGGTGTGGTGGGGCGTGGTGGGGCGCGGTGGCTCGTCGGCTTGGCCGTTGCCTCACTGGCCGCGGCCCTGCTTCGGGTTATGTCACTTTGGCGGGCCGGCCAGCGCGCCGGCGGGGCGCTCCGGTGGAGTCACAAGCCGCTCGGCCGCTCGGCTAATCTGCCCGCAGACCACATCCGCAGCCACCCACGCACGCCGAGCGAGCCGAGCGTCCCCCCGGGGGCTCGGGTTCGAGTCCCCGCATCGCGCGTGCTTTTTCTGGGTGTGTTTCCTCGTGAAAGCGTTTACTTTTAGCGCCGAGCCAAACGCCGAAAGTCAGCCGACTCTCTCTTCCGGCAGTCCTTATCGGCTTGCGCTCACCTTTTCGCGCTTGCTGACGCCGACTCGCCGGCACGGCCATCACGGCCCTTGAGACCGACACCCGCTTGCCTCCGGACGCGAAGAGTGGCGGTGGCAGCGGTATTGACGGCGTGCTTTGGGGGCAGCGCGGGGCCGCCGCGCCGCTCGCGCGTCTAAGTCGCCAGCCTCGCGCCGTCCCCGTCGGCCACCTCGAGGAGCAGGCAGAGGTCACTCCAAGGGTGCCTCGCCCTGCAGGGCCCTGCTCGCCGGAGAGGAAGGGGTGCGAGAGAGACGGCGCGTCGTGGCGGGGAAGGGAAGGGACCACTTTCACTCGCCGGGTGGGGCGTACCGGGGCCCGGGCCGCCAGCTCGGTCTGGCCGGCGCCGCGGCCTGCGCCGCCCGGCCTGCCCTGGCTGCCAGCTCGGGCCGTCCCGACGGCGTGCCGCGGCGTGGCCGACTGACGGTCAGTTGTGCTGCGATCGGCCGGAGGCGAAGGAGGTCCACGAACAGCCCGCCACACTCCAGGTAAGGCACGGCGTCGACGCCCCCTCGAGGTGGCCTGTCTCCGACTTCGTCTGGAGGCTGCGGTCCGTGTCGACTCACGCAACCGAACCGGCCACTTGCTGGCCAGGTAGTGAAGCAGGTGCACGTGCAAGTGCATTCCTGGGTTGAAATTTCTGTGTGTGTGAGGCGTTTGGACCCGAGTGGTGGTACTCCAGTACGTCAGTCACGGTTAGTTCAACAAACAGTGCAACGTAGGCGTTTGTCTGCATTAGTCCCGAAGCAAATTGGAGCGACCAAATCCAGTCCTCGCCACAGTGCGCGGGGATTTGCTTGCCGGTACCGTAAGACTGGAGGATACCCTCGGTCGCTGGAGCCCAGCCTGGAGCCCAGCCTGGAGCCCAGCCTGGAGCCCAGCCTGGAGCCCAGCCTGGAGCCCAGCCTGGAGCCCAGCCTGGAGCCCAGCCTGGAGCCCAGCCTGGAGCCCAGCCTGGAGCCCAGCCTGGAGCCCAGCTGGAGCCCAGCCTTCGGAGCCCGCAACGGACCCAGCCGGAGCCACGCCGGGCCCAGCCTGGACCCAGCCGGAGCCCAGACGGAGCCCAGTCCTGGAACCCAGCGGAGGTGGAGCCAGCCCACTGTCTGACCGGCCTACGCCGACCCGCCGGACCACTGCCGCGGCTGGCAGCGCCGGGACTCCAGTGCCGTTGGGCCCAGCGCTAAGGAGCCAGGGCGCCAGCCGTGGGCCCCTGGACCCAGCTGGACCCGCGCATTTAACTGGAGGGCCCCATCGTGGTTAGCCTGCTGCGGCCAGCCTGCCTACGGACCGCCAGCCCGCGGAAAACTGCATGCCGGAGGCTGAGATCAGATCTGCGAGCCCATCGTATGCGCAACTCTCCGGGCTGAAGACCCGCCGCACGGCGGGGCGGCCAGGCGGACCCAGTGCGGGCCTCCGAAGGTCGCCGAGCTGGACCCGGCGCGGGTCGCCACTGTTTGAAGCTCATTCGCGCAGCGCCAGCATCGTGGTATGACTGGTCTGCCGGGCCAAAATATCTGCTTAGCGCCCGCGAGAGACGCAAGGTTTCGCAACCGGTGGGCTCCGGTGTCCCTACCCGCGCCTTTGGGGGCATGGGTATGACTCTCTGCGTGCACCTGCTTTACGGACCGTCCCCCGCGGAAGTAACATTTCGCATCGTTTCCCGGAGGTGCAGGAATGCACGACTCTCGCTGAGCTCATTCGATATATCGCGCAACTCTCCGGGGCGAGAGAGCCGCGCCGGGCGGGGCGGGGCGGGGGCGGGGTGCGGGCTCTGACCTCAAGGTCGCCGACTGGACGCCGGCCTCGCCCAGCGTGTAGTTTGACAGCTCATTGCAGCGTAAGAGCAAGCAGGTTTTACTGGTAAAGTGAACTGTGTCTCCAGGGCCAAAAATACTGAAGTCAAATTAGCGCCTGCGAAGAAAAGATACCGTTCTGCAACGCGCGTGTGTTCGGCGGGGTGCCTACCCGCGCCTGTCAGGGGCTGGATAGGCAACTATCTCGTCAGCAGTGTACTGCAATGGCCTAGGCCGACTCTTTTTCTTCATTCCCATCACCCGTCCCACTTTCTACTCCTGGACACACATTGTCTCGCACGAGGGATTTTTTTCGGACTCCGCTTCGTTGTCAAAGACGGTTGACCTCTGCCGGCTCTTCCCATGGTTTGTGTCGCGGCCGAGACCTCCGCCAACGTAACAGTGTTGCAACAGATGCGCCTCTAGCCCCCTCCCTACCGGCACCGGCCGACAGCCGAACCCGGTAGCCCGGCGCGGCGTGAGGACCGGCACGCGGGTCCAAGAGAGAGAAAAGTTTCAGTGGGATTCGAACCCGCGCCCCCCGCACTGACCCCGCCGACTCGCGTGTCTCGCGTAGCCCTTCGGACTGGATTCCTAGGGGGTCAGTGTGGGTAAGTAAACGGGCGGCGAATGAAAGTGGGAAAAGCGCCGGGCTGCGAGTGTTTGATCCCGGTTCCTCTCGGCCCGCAGGTCCCAACACCCGAAGCCATGAAGCTGTGGACGACGCTGGCGCTGTGCGGCGTGGCGGTGCAGCTCAGCCTCCTCGCCGTGGACGTGTCCGAGGCCCGGCCCCAGGAGGCGCCCTTCGAGCTGCCCGTCCAGCTCATCGGCTTCCCCGTCATCATCATGGCCGTGCGCGTGTCCAACTTCGTCAAGAAGCTGGCCTACTCGCTCAACCCCAGTGAGTACCGACCGAGAGAGAGATCGGCTCGATCCGTGATTTGGCGCGAAAGCGGATTGAGCGCCCCGCCGAGTGAGTGGATTACCGGCCGGCACGTCGAGGAAAGCTCAGGCGCACACGCGAGCGCAGCGCAAAAAAAAACTCACAAAAAACACTTTTAATTTTTTTGGCACACTGCGACGACGATTGCTGTCACCTTTTATAATCAAGTGGCCCCACTAGGCCGCCGCCGCCGCGGTGTGCGTAACTGGGAGGCGTGGCGGGGCGTGGCGTGGCGAGTCCCGTTTCGCCATTCAAGACGTGTTCTCCATATCGATGCCGGGCGTAATAAGTGTGCGCTGCTAAGCGCACTGCACTCGCACAACAACAACAAGAAACTGACTGGCGTTTTTGTTGTTCAGGCACGTACCGGTCGCGGACGCGGCGCGGCGCCATCGCCGGCCCCGAGCAGGACGTCCCCGACCTGGACCCCGCGGCCGTGGAGAAGCGGCTGGTGCGGGAGATGGGCGAGTCGGTGTGCGTGTACGAGCACGTGTGTAGGGACTACGCGGAACGCGCCAGGCTGCTGGGCGCGCGCAACCACGCGCTGGACTGGCCCAAGCTCATCAGGTACGCCGCGGACTGTTTCCGTTTTCAGAGTCGCTTTCCGGAAACTTTGATTTTGGCGTTTGTTTCAGCAACTACAACGCGTCCCCGGAGAGCAGGAAGCAGTTCTACCTTCTGAGCGTGTTCCTCGGCGACATCGTGGGCTCCCCCAACTTGTGCCACCAGCTTGCCAAGCGGGGCCGCGCCTGCAAGTGAGCGGCCGAGCGGCCGTGGCCCCCCTCGAGGGCTGCCCACCGAGGCGGCAACCCTAGCCGTCCACGCGGCGGTCGGCAACCCTAGCGCGTCCCGCGTGCTGGCGGGCAGCCCCTCGCCGGGGCCGAAGACAAGCCATATTGTGATAAAGTCGCGGCCGCTTAGGCTGGCCACGCTGCGCCCGGCTGCCCGGTTGGTAGGGTTGCCACCTGGCCGCTCGCTAGGTTGGTAGAGTTGGCACTAGCCGGCTGCTCGGTTGGTAAGGTTGCCACCACCAGCTTCCCCAGCCAGTTGGTTTGGATATCACCAGCTGAGGGTTGCCACCAGCCGGCGCGAGGCGTTTGTCAGGTTGCCATCCAGCCCGCCGGGAACTGCTCGCTGGGAGACGATGGTGCGATGAGCTATAGTCAAGTAGAAAATCAAAACCCTGAGGGTGAGGTATCCGCGACAGGGCAGAGAATGTGTCAAGGATTTCATTAATAATTTCTCTGTGGATCTGAGAACCTTGCCCGCTTAGATGAAACTTAAGAAGATCCGCCTCTCATAGTGTTGAGGCGTTAACTGTACAAACGCTAAGAATTATAAGCGACTTTCTAAATAGGTCATCCGGTGACGAATAGGTGACGTACTGTCTGTTATGCCGCGATAGTGACGTCATGGAGGCGGCAAACGGATCTCTGGTTTGACGTCATCATGGCTTGCATCGGTGCTGACTGTACAAAACTTCGGGAATTTCACGAGTCTGTACGTAAGTGTGTGAATTGTTACTGAATAAATCATTGTTACCTACCCGTTGCCTTCTTTCAAACCGCGCGTGCCCCTACACTGGTGTGCGGTGGGCTGCCTGCCCGCCGGCGCACCGCCGAGGCGCAGCCCATATAAGGCGCTGGACGGAAAGGGGAGGGGAGGAGGAGGGGAGGCTGGGCCCCAGCGGCCCCAGCACGCACCACACCGCTGGACTCCACGTGGCCCAATCCGACGTGAGGACCATGGTGCCACTTGGTCGGAGACGTTACTGACAGAACTTGAGGTGCCGGGGCTCGATTCAACTCGTGGTGAGCACTACAGCCACGTGGTCAGCGACGCGGCATCCGGAACAGAAGTTCCGCGGTTCGACTCCCACGCACAGCCCCTGCTTTTCTTCTCCTTTTCTGCCATTTCCATGCATTCTAATTCATTTCCATGCGCGGCGCGGGCTTTATCACGCTGTAAAAGTTAATTCGCGGGTACCACGAACCGCCCGCACCGCCAGCACAACAGGTTGGCCCTTCTGCCTTTTGCTGTGGCGGCGTTGCGCGCGCGCTCAAAGACCTCAAAGACCGCGCTGCAGCTCGTTAGGCCTGATGCATGTGTCGCGCGGAGTCTTATTGGGCGGCCATGCTAATGCGGCGCCCGCACGCCGTGGTGCCGTCTCTCTCGCACCCAGCGGCACCCTGCGGCACCTCGCGGCCCGCGCCCTGAGTGCGAGAGAGACGCGACGTGACGGCGCAGAATGCGGAATCGCCCTGCCCCGCCCGCCGCCCGGCCCGGAAGCGCGCCGGCGCGCCGTCGAAGCGCGCCATTTTTCAAACGCGAGCGCGTTGCCGCCGCCGGCGATCCAAACTCGGGATATGCTTTCGCCTTGAGGGCCACGTCGCGAGAAGGGCGGGGGAGGGGAGGGGAGGGGAGGGGAGGGGAGGGGGGAGGGGAGGGGAGGGGAGGGGGTGAGGGGTGAGGGGGGGGGCAGCGGCGACACTTGCAAAATTGTCTGAAATGACTTGAGCGGCAGGTTCATGCGGGCGCATTGCGCGCTCATCAGGGCTAAGTGAACGGGGAGCGGGGGAGTCGCCTGATGAATCGTGATGATTCAAACGCCATTGCAATTGCAAGTACATACGCTCTGTACGCAGTGCGGGCGGCTCGGTGCGAACGGACGCAGAGGAGAATGACCAATGAAGGAGTCGCGTTGGTATACCGCGTGTCGACGCGTGACTGTAGCAGCAAGCGTGTCACTGACCCGCGCAAGCCAGTGGCGAGGGAGAGAGGGGGGAGGGAGCGGGACAGCTTGGAGGTGTAACTCACCGCTACGTTATAGGACACGGCGCGTTTAAAAGCGGGAGCCGAGCTCTTTCGCTTTTTCTTTAATTCTCCAGGCGCTATCATCGTCACCGCATCGCCCCGCCACTGTAAAGTCGCCATTTTGACGCGTGCCGCGTGGAGCGGGCCGTTTGCGAGGCGGCAGGCGTGAGTCAGACGCTGCTGCCGGCGGCTCGCTGGAAAGGTGCTCTCGTACGTACCGGCATCACACAGTGGGTCGGGAGACCGCGGCAAAACTCAAGACGCGTTTTGAGCTCCAGAGTCACCAAATCGGACTCGAACATGGTGTGTGACCCCACCTGTGGATTCCTCGTTCGGAGAGCAATCCATTGGTGGGGTCACACGTTTAGTTCCGGTCCAATTTAGCGACCCTGGACTGGAGCTCGAGACGCATCAGAGATTTCGCCCGCCTCCACCGGTCTTCTGGCCCATCGTGCATCACCCCGGCCGAGACTGCCGACAGCCACGTCAACTGCAGGGAGCAACTTTCGTCGTACAGTTCCTACAAAATTGGAAGTGACGACTCGACCACTGGGATGCTTCTGGACCTCGGCCATCCCCTGCGGGCCTTCCCTTCAACATGATACTGATTACGCTGTGTTATTTCGACTGGCCATCACACACACACGCACATCTCCATTACCGGCAGCACTCACACGGCGGCCGGCAGAAACAAATCCCCTCATCCCTTAAAGCCCCCAACTTAAAACGAAAAAAAAATGGAGAGGGAAGAGTGTAGACCTCCGCGCAGTATCCAATTTTTTCCCTTTTTTTCAGCTTTGAAAAGTACACGAGACCGGCGACTTATGTCGGAATTAGATTAGCTGACCCCACCGCACGCGATAGCGCCGCGGGCCGCGGCCGTGATGGGGGTAGCCGGCGGTCGGGCCGGGCTGCGACTCCGACGTCGCGAACCTTCTTCCTCCTCTCGGAGGATGACAGACAGCTTCCGAGGATGTCCTCGTGTCTCTGTGCTGCGATCGGAATCGGAATCCTCCGGTCATCTGGCACACTGTGCGTCCTCGCGTCGGAGCGGACTCACCTCCGCCCCGCGCCCCTCGATGTGTTTTTCCATCCCTCTGCCAATAACGTGCCGCCGCCCACTCACTGGCCGTGTCGGATTACCGCGCACCAGACGACTCTTCACTGAAAAAAAAAACACATTTTCAACGGGAAAAAAATACATAAAAATCGTTACAAAGGGATATAATTGGCAGCGGATTTAATTTTTGACCGTCCTCGCGCGATTTTTTTTCTCTCTTCCCCGTTGCTTTTCCGCGTGCGTGTCTGCTCGCGTGTTTTGTCTGTGAATGTGCCGTCATTATGAATGAGAGGGGCGCTGCAGGCCGAAATTGGACGCAAGGCTCCGCAGGGAACGGCCCACCTGTGGACACTCCGCGCGGCAAACAGCGCCGGGTTTCCATTTTTGAAAAAGGGAGGAGGACGTCGCGAGTGTGATTACGGTGGAAAGGGCTATCAAGTGCGGCGGTGCACTGCAATCACTCGCCCAGACAAAACATTCGTCAATAATGTGCGCGGTCTGGCGGGGTGGGGCGGGGCGGGGCGGGGCGGGGCGGGGCGGGGGGCGGGGCGGGGCGGGGCGGGGCGGGGCGGGGCGGGGCAGGGCGGGGCGGGGCGGGGCGGGGCGTGACGTCCCAGACGGCGCCAAACGCGACAGACGCCGCGCCGTGCATCGATTAACCCGACGGCATGTCTGACTGGAATGTCTGACTCGGACCTGGAATGTCTGGCTCTATTGAACGCGGTGCCACTTTCCTTATTGAGGCATTGCCGGCGCGTCGGGGGCTCATCGTCGCAATCAGAGAGAGTGTGACAGAGAGGCGGTGTCTTTACTCACCCACTATTCCCGTCGTGGGAATCATCGCGGTGTCACTTGTTGAGTCCCTTGCCTTACCCAGAAGCCGGCCAACCCACCCCACCTTTAGGCCCTGCCTCACCTACGTCTTAGTTCTGCGCGGGCGAGGCACAGAACTCTGACTTGGAACGGTAGGATTTCGTCCTCCTTTCTGGACTTTCGAATGTGTTCCTGGGTTGCCCTCGGGGTGATCAGTCGTGCCACCGTCCGGCGCCCGGCTGCGTTCGCGGTGACCAGCTCACCTCGTTGCCACAGCACGCAGCCCGCCAGACAGTTCCATTTCGAGCGCAGCCCGCGGGAGGTCTCACCTTCTTCGCCCACGGAGCGGCGGAGCCCCATGGAGTGTGATGCCACGCGCCCACGGGATGCATGGTCCGCCATGATACCCACGTAGCTGAACGAGCTTTGCGTAAAGTTACCCCGTGCCGAGCGCGCAGGTCGAACGGTACTCGGGCAGGCTAGCCTCGCCCTGGTTCGCTTGCTGCAGGTCAACGAGTTCTTTAACCAGCAGGAAACGCGTATTACAGGCCTGGCAACGCACCAACATGCAAAACCCTGGAACTTTTCTCGAAATGAAAAGCGAAAGCAAAAGTGTTCGCGGATGTTCCTCCCCGGGCGGACAATGGAAAATGGTTACGAAATCTTAACATTATTATTCATGCCGCTCTGTCCGCTGCTTTCCTCTCCCTCTTCGTCTCCTCGTTTATCCAGCCTCCTCCGCCCCACCTCCACCTCGACTGTTTTCGCGCGGTGAAACCACGCAGATCTGTGGCCCTGTCGCCGCAGTCCACCGGCCGAGGTCCGACGCGCAGCACCTCAAACCCAGCGCCCGCCTAACCTGACAGCGCGGGTAAGTCACTACGAGTGAGGTTAGGTCACAGGTGTCGTTTGCCCGGTCGATCTCGTTGCAGTGGTCGCAGGGCGGGGAACGTCAAACAATGCAGTGTCGAGAGCACAAATATGAGAAAATATTTTCCTGACGATATATTGCCAGGACTGGATGACTGTATCTTAACACCTCAGTGAAAAGTCTAACCAAAAATTTTAAAAGTGACCTTAGTTGAGTGAACTGCGCAGGGTTGTAGCAGGACCTCTCTTCGGCCCCAGCGGTAGAGATCAACTGGTACAACGTCATGAAGGGTTTCAGCTTCGGCTGGTTTCGGCACTGCACTCGAAAACGCATCGCAAACATTCCGCTCACTCGAACGAGCCCAAAGCCTTCACGTTGAACGCTACCTATTCAGCAGCTCAGCCACTCCACCGTTTTGGAGGTGGAAATGTTGTTCCCCGGAGCGGCCCGCAGTGTACGCGTGCAACCTCCAGCCGGCCTGCCCGGCGCCCGCCTTATTTGCAGAAAGTGACTTTCCCTGACGCCCACGTCTAGTCGGGAGGACCGTCGCGCCGCCGGGTCGCGGGGCGAGGCGTGGGCAGTGCGGATAGTGTCCCGCTGCCAATACGCTGGCCGCGCTGCCGATAGCGCACTGCAAGGCAAACCGGTGTAAATGTTGCAATGTTCGCACTCTGCGCAGAAGCAGCGCGCCCATTTTTCAGCCGGAGTGCACACGAGTGTGAGTCGCGTCGCCCGATCGAAGCAGCGTGCCAAGTCACGACACCACGCGGGGAGGGCAAAAAGTAACGCTTGAGGAGTCGTCATAGAGTGCTGCCCGCGGGACTAGATTGCTGTAATGGACCAGGCGTCTTCACGTGAGGAGTGCAGCCGACGAGTAAAACGAATAAACCCGCGTGATTAGCGCGCGTCGCTGTTTTTCTGATAGATTTGGCGGGAAGATTTGGCGGGAAGATTTGGCGCGGAAAGCGGAAAAGTCTGGACGCCCTCCAGGCGAGAGGAAGATACTGTCGGATCGCATTAAATTTTGCTTTCTTTTTTCTTGCTTCTGCTGCTCGCTGCGGAGGGAGGAGACAGTCACCCTTTGGACGGGGGGCAGCGGGCTCGTTCCGAACACGGCTCCGTCTCTCTCGCACTCGTGCCGCGCCCCGGAGGGACGCGAGAGAGACGGAGACTGTTGAGCCTGCAGGCAGGACGGCGCGGGGTATCAATGAATCTGGAGTGCACTGTCCTGTACCGTACCTCCATCAACGTCGTCCGCCGGGTCCTCGGCCGGGCCCGCGACGCCGCGACGTTAAGGGGGCGAGTCCCGGACGCCAACCCCGGCGGCCTGACGTCTTTTAATCAAGCTTTAATTAAGAGGGGCATCGCTCGCTCCGCCTTACTTTAATTCTGTCATTTCGCGTATGGTAATTATTCAATGTCATTTCCGACCCCCACCCCCGCGCCTCTTAGCCGGGGGGTCGCGCCAGTATTTAGCCCCTGTTTTTTCCACGCTGCAGACTGAAGCCGCGAGTCGCTCTGTCTCTCTCGCACCCATGGGGCGTCGCGTATAGGTGCGAGAGAGAAAGAGCGACTCTCGGAATAAGTCTGCCGGCGTGTCTTGTTTGTGATTCTCCAAGACGCGGCGCGCGAAAAAACGCCCCGCGTCAAGTTTATGGCGCCGGGATAAGTGTGGCGTTTATCTGGGCAAGGAGGTTTTGAATTTCATTATGCCGGGGAGGGGAGGCCGGCGGCGCCTTGCCGAGCCTTCCGGGTGAGGAATGTCCCGGTGCGTCCGACCGGAAAATGTCGGAAAACGCTCTGTCTTGTTGCAGGCCGTCGCCATGAGACGCTGCGCGCTGCTGCTGCTGCTGGCCCTGGCCAGCCTCGGCGCCGCCAACAAGAGGGTCAGGAGGCAGAACAACCTGTACTCCGTCAGCGACTTCCTGGGGTGAGCTACCGCCGCTCTGTAACACGCCGCTGCGTCGCGGGACTGCCTACCCGCACTTCCACAGGCGCTCTCAGGAGCATTTTATACTCGACGGCTGAATTTTTCCTGTCGCAGGCAACTCGGCCAGCTTGCGGTGCAGTCGCAGGGCGGTGGCGGCGGCGGCACGCCGGGCAACTACCTCGCCGGCCTGCTGCAGGGCTACCAACAGTCCAGCCAGGCCGGCTACCGGCCGCAGTACCAGCAGGGGTACCGCCCGCCCCGCCCCGTCCCGCCAGAGTACCTCCAGGACTTGCAGTACCAGCAGCAGTACCAGCAGGGGCAAAGCTCCCTGGGCTACGACACTGTTAACGGAGGTCAGTAACTTTTTAAATTTTTTCCCTCTCCGTCAGAGTTATTGTTTTGCATACCAGTCACTACAGTACTTTGTTTCGCTCCAGCGTTCGGCCAGCGGCCCGGTGGCGCGGGCTTGGGCGGCGTCCTGGCCGGCCCGGGCGGGCTGGGCGGCGGGCTGGGCGGCGCGCTCGGCCCCCTCGGCGGGCTTGCCGGGCTGCTCGGTGGCGGCCAAGGCGGCTACCCGTACCCGCAGCGGCCCGGCGGCCAGCCCGGCGTGTCGCTGGCCAACGCCCTGCAGTCCGTGGCGCGCTACGACGACGCCCAGTGCGTGCCCAGGCTGCTGTGCGAGCTGACGGCGGGCGGCAGGCCGGGCGGGGCCAAGCAGAACGAGGCCCTGCCCTTCGTCAACCGGGACACGCTGCTGTCGTGAGTACGCCGAAAAAACAACTCAAAACACATCCCGGCCCTTGCCCTAAACGCACCGCTCTTGCAGGCTGCTGACGGTGCTCAACTTCGGCACCGGGTCCCCGCTGCTGGTGTTCGGCCGCGCCGCGCTGCTGGGCTACATGGCGCAGGGCGACCCCAACTCGTGCTACACCGCGTACCCCGCCTGCCCCCGCGACGCCGACCGCCTCGTCGACTACCTCAACAACCACAACGGCGGCTTTTTCCGATTCTTCACCGGAGTCGGCAACCCGCAGTACCTGCAGCAGCAGGGCTACCCCCAGTACCCGGTACAGGGCTACCCGGGACAGGGATACCCGGGACAGGGCTACCCCGGGCAGGGCTACCCATCTGGCCAGGGCTACCAGGGCTACCCATCCAGCCAGGGCTACCAGGGCTACCCGGGTGGTGGCGGCTACGCCCCGCAGTACCGCGACTTCGAGTCCCACTCGTCGAAGCCGTTCGCGTTCCCGGACGCCAAGAAGAGGTCCCTGCCGATGGCGGAGAGCCGCATCCTGACCAAGGTCCACCCCGAGGACGCCGCCGCCAGCCCCGGCCCGTTCCTGCCCACGCCGCGGCCCCCCAGCGGCTACCGCGACGGCCGCCAGGACCACCGCTTCAGCGCGCCAAGCAGCACCCCCACCAGTGGCGTCACCGTCGTCATCAACGGCCAGCACGTGCCCATCGACCCCAGCACGCTGAACCTGGCCGCCGGCCAGTACACCTTCAGCAACCCCTACCAGCAGACCGGCAGCAAGGTGTACTCCTACGGCGACGCCGCCCAGGAGACCTACCGGCCCTACATCCCCAACATCCGCCTCGAGAAGCCCGTCGTCCCCGTGGAGATCTTCCCCACCAGGACGGGCACCGGGGACCTCCGCCTCGACCTCGACGAGCACCTCAAGCTGGCCGCGCAGGGCAGGCCGCAGGCCAAGCCCTTCAGGTTCGCCAGCGGCGACGAGGGGAGGTACCAGGACTACCAGCAGGCCTCCCAGCAGAACTACCAACAGAACTACCAACAGAACTACCAACAGAACTACCACAGGACTACCAGCAGAGCTACCAGAGCAACAGGGTTGGCAAGGGCTTGCGGTTCCCACAACTATAAACCATTGCAGCATTAAAGTAGGGATGCAGCGTGAAAATATAATATTAAAGACTTGTTGCGGCGACGAGTGTTGGGTGCAGTTAGTGTAAGTATTTATTTACGCTAGGATCGATCAAAGTAGTGGCGGGTGTTCTAGTTCGTGTCTGACTCTATTCTCACTAACGAACCCATCTCTATGATGTAGCTTCTATGAAGCACCCTCTCCTTAATGTAATGAACCGTTGTTTTTATGGCGTTTTATGTTGTTGTTTTGTTGAGTGTTAGAAACAATAAAAACCCAGTGCATGTGTTGGTGAGCGTCCTGTTTGCATGCATGACCGCCCCTTTTCGTGAGACTCGGCTGGATTCCGGGGGAGTTACACTCGCCATATAGTGGCCACGCTTTACTGATGCGGGGCTCTCGCTCTCTCTCTCTCACTCGCACGCCAGTGCGGCGCGCGGGGCCCTCCTCTCTCTCTCTCTCTCCCACACGCAAGTGCGGCGAGGCACGCGACTTTGACGCCGCGCTGCAATTATTCATCTTTCCAAAAGGCATCGTGCTCCGGGCTTGGCACTTATCATGCGCGAAAAGGGGAAAGAGCGCCAGTGTCGTGTCAGGCGCCAAAGAGTTAATGTGGCGGCTGTTGTGCTGGTCCGGGGCGGGGCGGGGGGGCGGGGGGGCGGGGTGGGGCGGGGTGGGGCGGGGGGGGCGGGGTGGGGCGCGGTGGGCCGAGGCGGCGGACGTTCAACTCGGCGTCAACTTAGCCATGGACGCATCCCCAAACCCCACCAGGCCCTCACCCTGTCATTTTCGTGCTGGGCGGGTTGGGGTGGGGTGGAGCGGCACCGGGCGGGGCCCCCGACTCCGCGACCGCGACGCTTAACCCCTTCCCGAAGAAACACCGTGAATTGACAATGGCAGGCTGATGGCAGGGTCTGCGCTGCCGAAATGACAGTGGCGTCGCCGAGCTGGCCGAGTAGAACCGCTGCCTCGTGAGCGCGCAGCCTTCACTGTAAGTGCTGGGAGTGGTTCGTGGCGAGCGGGACGGCCGGCTTATCGCCCGCAGGCTTTTCGCGACTGTAACGATTGATCGCAGTGCCTTCGACCTATCGCTGGGCAGTCGCAGCACCCCGGTTTCGCACCAACACGCGCTGCGCGCTACCGCCACGGCCCTGCCCGCCCTACCTGCGCAGTGTGCATTACGATAGCGCCGCGATGTAGCTGTTACTCGTTCGACGCGTCGATATCCACAGAGTGTCGGCCACGACAACGCTCTAAAACACTCCTCAGGGGGGGGGATGACAAAAAACGGAACAGAAATATTTTCTTTTTTGTGGAGGGTAGATTTGAACTCAGGTGGTTTTCTTCGGAATTCGGGGTACCTTTAAGCGCGGGGGCACACTGCGGCGGATGCGCCTGCCTTTGATGTAGACTCAACACGAGAGGTGCGCACTTTTGCGGTCTCAATGCGTCCGAATCAAGTGGGCGCACACACACACACACACAAACACACTCACACACAGTGTGGTGGTAATTGGCTCATTCCAGCGCGCTTCCCGCAAACAGCGCGTCACCGAAAGCGACGCTCCTTTGTTTCCTGTCCTTTTCCTTTTCTTTTTCGCCCTCTTTGGCGGCGTTTTCGTGTTTTGGCGCACGCGCGTCCAGGCGGAACGAGGAGAAGGGTTTGGAGGGCCGCGGCACCGCGGCACCGCGCTCGAGTGAGGACGCCGTCAACGCGAGCACCACCGGCACACTGCTTTCGAGGGTCGTTTTTCGTCGCTCTGTCTCTCTCGCACCCATACAGGATGCCCCACGTGAGAGAGACAGAGCAGTCTGCGGCAGCACCTGAGCGGTGGCGGCCCGCGGGGATAGGGTGCGGCCGGCCGCGTACGCGTGGGCTAGCAGCTGGGCGTCTATCGCGTCTAGCGCGTCTATCGCGTCCTGGGTTCGATTCCTAGATAGAGCAGGACAAAGGACGCGCCTCCTAGATCCATTTGCAGCGCCCCCCGGCGAGCGTCGCGCTGCCTGCGCTGCCTCCACGCCCCGGTAGATCCTGATCACTCCACCGCAAGCTGGCTCGCTCTGCTTGCCCCGCTAGTCCGTCATAGACAAGGCATCGTAGACGCATCGCATCTGTCGTCGGCATTGTCTAGGCGCACTGGCCGTGCTAATGCGTCGCATGGCGGTGGCATGGCGGTGGCATGGCGGTGCCATGGCACGGCGTCGTTGTCATCGGCGCGGTTTTCAGGTTCGTTTCCCCTTTTTTCCGACTCCACCGCGGAGGCGCGGCCCCCTGGCGGCCCCGCCCTGGATAGGCTCGGACGTCCTAATCCCGGCACTGGAAAGGCAGGGCGGCCATTGTGGCGTTCAACCCTTTGGGCCCTTTGGACTCAAAGGCTGCCGGAGTGGGCTCAGATACGACAAAGCCTAAGCCTCACGCCTTCCTGTTTGCGCTGCTCTCCACGTCGGGAGCCTTCTGTCTCTCTCGCACTCCCGCGAGACGCCCGCGAGTGCGAGAGAGACGTCAAAGGCTCTGTCTTGGAGATTGGAGCGCCACGCGTTGCGGAACTGACCTAGGACACGGTCCGCGCGGCCGGGCGATCCAGGACGATCCAGGACCTACCCCACGCCGCAGCAACAACCCCGGCACTGCGTCAAAGGAGGCGCGCAGGACAATGCAGGCACCGCCAGTGTGTGTGTGTGTGCGTGTGTGTGCACCCTCACACATGAACGTACCCATTCATTATCGGTTTGCTGTGCGTCTTGCAGCAAACTAGAGAAGATTACTGCAAGGGAGACGAGGGGAGTGGAGGGGGAACAATCTCTCTCTTTCCTCTCCCCTAGTTCTGTGTCACCGACACCGCGAACACCCCCCTGTGGGGTCGTCGAACTCCGCGACACTACCGGTGTTCTTTTTGTTGTTTTTTGTTTTGCTGTGTACTTCCTGCTTCTGTTGGACACCATGGGCCGAGGGACACGGACTCGGTCTGCCGGCTGCTACTGTTGACCTCACTCCAGGAAGTCTTTAGAGAGTTTGGGTGGTTGGACAACTTTTGCCATCCAGTATGCGGTGCTGCTGTTTCTTCTTCTTCTTCTTCTTCTTCTTCTTCTTCTTCTTCTTCTTCTTCTTCTTCTTCTTCTTCTTCTTCTTCTTCTTCTTCTTCTTCTTCTCTCCTCCTCCTCCAACTAGTGCTGCTGCCATTGCGAAATTTGCATCCCCCGGGAACATTTTCCACGCGGCGTATTGGCGGTGCGTGCAAAATGTGCGTGTGAGATTCCTCACTCTGGAATCCACCCCCTCGACCCGAGTTTGCACCGGATCGCTGCGTTTGCGACAGTCCGGCAAGTCGAGAGCAGGCGACAAAAATGCCAGAGAGTTATTACCGCAGTGTGGCGGTTATTATTTTCAAACCAGGTGCAAAAAGCAAAAAAAAAAAAAATTTAAAAAAATGAAAAAAATTGAAAAATAAAAAAATGGCAGGCCCCGTTGGGATTCGAACCCGCGACTATGAAAACGCACGGCAGTGATAGGCGGTGATGAGCAAGCTGTCCGCACCGTATCTCCGGAATGTTGACGCGCCACGCGACTCTCGAAGCACTTAGGACCTATGGTGGGAGAGATTGGTCCAGGTCCACCTCATGGCGGAGGAATGCCTGCGGATCACGCCACCTCTCTCTCTCACCCCCCCCCCACACCACACACACACCACACACACACACACACACACACAGATGCCGGGCGCATGACGCGTCGCTCCGAAGCGCGCTTTTAACAGCATTATGTGTATGACGCCAATTACATCCCCGTTGTTCACAGTGCGGTGGTTTTCTGCCCGTGTAGTGGTTGGGGGCCCGATGGCGCGGGGCGTGCGGGGCGCGCGCGCCTTGCGTCCTAGAGCCGCTCTATCCTAGAGCAGGCACTACACTGGGAGCTTAGAGCGGCGCACAATGGCGCCAACTAGTAAGACACCTGTCATTGTCCTGCACTGCCGCGTCGAGAGGTTGGTAGCACTGCCGGGAGCGGGTAGGCTCAACTACACCAGAAAATAAAAATTTCTTCGAAAACGCTCGCTTGAAAAACTTAAGTTTGTGATTTTTCCTCCTCCACGGAGTGACGACAGTATTCTGTTCAAGATTTTCAAACCAGGTCAACACTCGCTCCACACTCCCCATGCTCCGCCTTTTAGAGCCGCGTGGGGTTCTGGTGAGGGGCGTAAGCCGGTGAAAGAGAGAGTGAGTGAGAGAGAGAGAGAGAGAGAGAAGAGAGAGAGAGAGAGAGAGAGAGAGAGAGAGAGAGAGAGGCACTACCACTATATGCGTGCAGTGCGCATTAAAAGAGTGCTCACAATGCAATATGTCCCCTCGCGGCATGCGAGCCTAGCGGAGTCTAGCGCAGCCCAGCGGAGCCTAGCCTAGGCAGGCCGAGGGGGTGGCGGTAGCAATCTGAGTAATCACACCGCACTACTCTTCCCTCATCTGGGGGATGGGCCGCCACAAACTCGATTCCGTTCGCGGGAACGTTTCCAGATAGGTCTTTGGCAGGGTGAGTCCGACCGTCGGGCTTAGCGCCTGGGAGGTAGGCAGGCCGGTGCACTCCAGTGCGTGGGAGCTGCCTGGACGCACGGCGGACGGCGGCGCCAGTGTGCGTGAGTCTGTCTGTCCGTCTGTCTGTCCGTCTGTCCGCCCAGAGTGTGTGTCTGTCCATCCGTGCTCTTTCAGACAACACAGCCCTGCTTGGACACTTTTGCCCCGTTTCCAGGGAGTTTCGCGCCAAAAACACGGTGAACTAGTGACCTCGCGACTCCCCCTCGGATTACTTCAGGACGGCTGCCCTTCCGTCACGGCGAGCCGGGCAGGCAGGGCTGGCAGGCAGGCCGGCCGGCCGCGGTGTCCCATGAATGGCGTCACGTGACAAAACCATTCATCGAACGTATCGAATGCGAGTTTCCCACACACGCATTCAGCGCAGGTGGAGTAATATGCAAATGCGGTACTCGCTTTGGTGCGTGTAAAGCGCATTATTGCGACAGATTGTGCACACACACACACACACACACACCACACACACGCACACACACACGCACACACTTGGGTGCCTCGCCTAGGGCACATACTTCAACATTGCGCGCGCAACCCGTTTTACCTCGTTGCTCGAAAATGCGTGTGATTTTGCCTGTTGCCTGTTAATCTGAGTCGCAGAATGCGCATGGGGGGGAAGGAGCATGGGAG